GACAGTGTGTCCATTTAGATTTGGAAAACTGGTGAGTAGTTGCAGTAAATAGCCTAAATATTGTAATAGCTGACTTGCAAATAAGATTTTTTTTCTAAATGGAAAGGAATCCGTATGGTCTAGAAAAATAAGCAGCTTATTTTCTGGTTCAGTTTCCTTTCGTGTGTCAGTTGCATCCAGTTTGTTCCTGTTAACCTTGATTTGTATCTGAATGAATTGTTCTTGTTTTCTGTCATTGGCATTCTAGGTGCCTCTTGGGTTTTGATTAATAAATACAGTAGACATAGTTGAGTGTCTTGAGCTTTAAGTTTTAGGGAGCTAATAGTATGTTGCCTGTAACATTGATTTACTGGGATTGATTTTCCGGGTTTTTTTCAGCTGGATGGATAGTCTCAAAATGTGGTATCTATCATCAAATGCAAACTTCTATTAGTGTAACAAATATTAACCTTATTTTGATGGATTGCAATTTTTAAGTGGCTTGGCTTTGCAGGCTATAATATTTTTATGTGAATTCTTGCTCTAGTCAAAGCTCTGGTGATTCCTCATTATCTGAAAAAAACAACTCAAACCACTCTTTTTTATGTATACCAGTTGAAAATACAATTTAAAAAACTGTTCTAATACTGGCCTTTTAATACATACATAAGCTTTGGAACCCATTTTGCTGTGGTTTTTTGTTAGGTATTAAGTTCCTTTGTATAGCGGCTGAATATTTCAATGGCACCACATTGTTCATTTGTTTGACTGATACTTTCAAAACTCTGAGTGGCTCTTTGATAGATTCTCAAAGAACACAACTCTTCAGATACTTTATCTAGATGGACTGCAGGATAAATCAAGGCTTTTAAACTTTAGATTTATAAGGACTTAAAGTACTACATTGCAGTCTTAAATACTGTATTTACCCCATGCAATGCGTAAATAAATTTTGCTCAGTAGAGATGGAATAGAATAGCAGGGACAGGGCGTGGAAGAGCTGAATAAGTGTCAAGGCTGTTGTTGCTCTTATTTACTCTTAAGAGTTTGATAGTTTATGCCTTCACCATTCTTACCAGCTTAAACCCTATACTGTGTTTTTTTCAGGGCAGGTATTTCAAGCCTAGCTAGGATTTGGTGATGGGGTTTTTGCACGTAGTGCTTTGAAAGCTCCCATATCATAAAGGTTAAATTTGGAGAAAACATGGATTCAGTGTACCTGTATTCCAGAGACAGTTTGATGCTGTGGTGACTGCTGACATTTGGGTGGAAATCAGAGAAGAAATGTTTTTTGTTGTTTGGTTTGGTTAGTAGGTTGGTTTATTGTAGTATATACACAGCTCTTTAATTGATTGTTTCTTCATGGGGCCATCATGGTGCCAAAATCTGTGTCCTTAATTCAGAGAAAAAAGAATCAATTCCTGAAATTAAAAGGGGCTTGAAAATAAAGGTCATCTATAATTACCAACATACTTTAGCAAACTGAGTGTTTTTAATGACTTTGGAAAACCAGTCTATCATGGTGGTGCCAGTGTTCACTAGGCTGTCATCAGTGTGATTCTGGTCCTAACCCATTGAGAGTTACTCATGTGCTTCACAGTATTCACCTCAAAGATACCTCCTTTAAGTCAGTATGAAATTATACATAAAATTAAATTAATTTATGAATTTTTGTGACTTCGTTAATCAGAAGTAGAGGAAGCTACCCAATATAAAAACCAACCATGTAGCATTGCAGTCCTGCTGCTAGGAAGAGGGTCACCATAGTACTGCATTTACCTACTATGTAGTGCAAAATATATAGACATTTAGTAAACTGTATGTGTATAGGAGCAAAACTGTCTCAAAAAAACAGTACTTTTAGTCTTACTTTTCTGTTGAAGGACCATTCAGAGACCTAGTTCCAGATTCATATTTTACTGACTTTATTGTTGCACAAGAAACACATTCCTGCAGTTTAAGATGCTCTTTAAAAAACTGTCTCCATGTCTGTCATGTGAAAAGTAAAATTACCTGTCTTCTCTACCATGTATTTTGTTTGATATTCAATACAGTAAAACCCCCAAACTTCTTGTTCCAAGATTCAGAAAGCTGTCTTAAGATGCAGAGCTATTTAAACGTCTCTTACTGCCTCAAGGTAAAACTCATGTTCTTTCGGATTACTCCAGCATATGGGTAAATCAAAGTTTGAGGTCTTCTGTTGGCACAGAATAAGAACATATGCTATTCTTATAAACTTCACATACTTACTGGTTGTGGCTTTTATTTCCTACCATGTATATTTTTACATGTTTTTCTCCTAAAAGAAAAGTGGACACAATGTTTAAAAGCTAGCCTTTGGACTGTTATGCTAATTGCTTAGAGGCTTTTGACACCTCCAATTATGATGTTAAAGTTTCAGTATTTGTAACAGGTGGTCCATGCTCTGACTCCTTTGTTGGTCAATATTTTTATCTCCCTGGCAGATATCCCTGCTCTCATTTTCTTGAGTTTTTGGTTCCAGAAAAAAGAAGTATAAATGCAAATCTCTAATTAGCAACAGAAAGATAATGAACTACTATTTCTGTTGCTTTCTTGTAACATCTTTATAATATAGTATGTACATTAGTATGAGTAATTATTACAAGTATTTCTCTTTATATAGATCCTAAAATATGGAGGAGTGTGTAAAAGGAAGAAATTAAGAGTTAAGAAGGACTAGTATTACTACATTTAAAGTTTTCTGGGAGTAAGATAAGGGAGAAATTTTCCCTGAGCATTTTAAAGGCTTCTCTTTTAGAATTAGTGGAAAGTTTGGGATTTTTTAAATATTTAAATCCTCAGAGTGGTACTGCAATAAAATTTTTGTGTAAATTATTTTTTATAGTTATACAGGATGATTTCTGTGAAAGTAATCCAAAGTCTGCTAAATAAACAATACAGAAAAAATTACAGTGTGAATTAGTGTATGGAGATACGTAATGTAAAGGTGATGGTGTAACAGTGATAGAGCTCAGTGTTTTTCTTTACATTCTAATTAAAAGTCAAATTAAATGACCATTTATAGGCATCTTGCATATTTAATAATTTCTAGCTTCAGATTTACAAAAATTGTATCTTGTGACATTAAGGAATTAAGTCTTTTAATGTGAACTCCTTTAAGTTACGTTAATATGGTGCTTTCTGAAATCAGTCCTTTATTCTTGCCATATGTAAATTCTAATCCTGACTTATTTTTGTCTACTTTCTTAGTTTTAACATGCTTGTCATGTCTGCTTTTTTTACCATTCTCCATTTATTTCACTGCAGTGCTGAACAAAAGCCGTAATTTCTGTTCCTGCTGTGATCTTTGTCCTGAATCAGAAATTGGACTATTTACATTTTTAAGATTGATACATTTAAAAATAAGACTCCTAGCAATATGTTTGAAAACCTTTTGTTCCTGTACTACTTAATCAAAGTGAAATATCTCTGGCTATGCTACCAAGACACAGCACGAGGGTCTGAAAACTGTTTTGAGTTGTGGGAGGTTTGCATAGTGGAAAATGAATTGTTGATTTTCATGGAAACCAACCTTTTCCTTGAGCAAGTGTTACAACTGGGAATTCATGACCAGCTTAGACAAGGATACTGTAGTGCTCAGCTGTGACAGAAGCTGGATAGTTAAGTAATTTGGCAGTGGCTGAGATCCTCTTGCAAGTTTCTGGTCCTGTTTAGACTGGATCCAGTGAAGTGCTCTGTTTCCTGTTAGTGGCTGAGGACATGCTTGGACTGCAAGCATGTGTTTACAGTGATGTAAGGGGACACACCATGGCTTTTTGAATTGCCCAGACAACATGCCTAGCCGAGGACTTTCTGACTGTCTTTATCTTCAAGTATCGTGAACATATGGTCTTAGTTACTGTGCAAGTTTAGGTTGATTTTCACCAGAACCAATGTTTTCACATCATCATTTCTCAGTCATATGAGAGACTTTATTTGCTATGGAAACAAATATATGCTGGGCACGAGATGCTGACTCTGGGCCAGTTGGACTCTGTAGTTATTCCTGGGTATGTGTTAGGGCAGTAAGAGATAGTTGGCTCACATATTTAGTACTTTTTCCTGTACTTTGTTGTGGTGTTCAGAGCTGTGCATGGTTCCTGCCATGCCAGGGAGGGAGGAAGAGTGCAGGCGAGCAGGGAATGGCCCACCTGCGGGGTCTGTGTGCCCTTAGTGTGTGGATGGTGGCCTGTGGCTGTGGACAGGGGCAATGTTGGCATGAAGTAAAAATATGCTTTGTGTGACGTATACTTGTTTCTTAATCCTGTTTTTGAGCTTTTGCTGGGACAATTTATTGGTCAAAAGGCTTTAGCATTTGTTTAGGAGATTGAGGCATGTTTAACCACTTCTCAACTTGAGATATTTTTAAAAATTCTACGAAGTACTAAAGCCTCACTGGAATTTTTTGAAAATGTATTTGCCGAAACATTTGGTTTACACAAGACAATAATCGCATTGTTCAATACTGAGTTTTCAAATCGTCTTGATTTCCAATACACCTGTCTTTATAGCAGCCCATTTTTGTGCTGGGTTTTGTAGCTGTTGGTATAAACAGGGCATTATTATACACACGAGTGAATTTATGAAAATTAATAATCCTGTTTTATTCAGTGAGGAGTATTCTTGTAGACAGATATTATCCAGAATTGGCAGCTCCTGAAATTGCTAAGAAACCCATGTGAATAGCGGGACTTCCATCAAATGTAGTATCTTAAAAATCATGACCTTTAATTGGCATAGAAAGCGTGTCTTCCAATATATTAAAGAGTATCTTTTACATTTTTAAAATGACATTCTCCCATTTCTAACTGCACATGATGAATGTTCTGTATTTTGAGAATGTGCTGTTCTCAATAAGTATTTAATTAAAATGCCATGTTTGGGTGCTTCATATACATATGATATGAAATGTATGTAGGTCTTTAACAACTATTTCATTGGATGTTGCTTTATTTATAGAAGTAATTGTTAGTGGTCTGTAATAATGGTACTTCTTTTAGCAGGTCAGATTGTTTCCCCCCAGTCTGCTCCAGCCTGTATTGAAAACAAAAATGATGTGAGCAGAGAAAACAGCACTGTTGACTTTAGCAAGGTGAGTGTTTGCTGACAGTGAAAAGAGCTTTCTGACTACCAGGTAGATCTTTTAAATTAAATCACATGAATCCATGTGAATCGGCAAAAGCTATGTAGTGCAAATTTTACTTCAGCATTAGTTCTGTGTGCACAGCAACCCAGTTGTATACAACCAAAAAGAATTTTTCATTTTCTTGATAAAATACTGGTAACATCACAGCTTAGAAGTGTGCATAAATTTATTGCATGACAATACCATAGGTGTGCAATTTGTAGGGGGATTTTTTACAAATTAACAGAATTACCTGAGTAGGAAAGTCATTCGGAATTCTTTTAATTCAGATTTACCTCTCAAGTTTTTACTTTTTTAGAAGTAATGCCTGAATGCAAACTGTGCTTTTTATAACCTGAACTCGTGGATTCCAGATGTCTCAAACAGAATGTGTTTCTGTAAACCTACAACTTAATTCTTCTGGCAAGCCAATATATTTCAGTACGCTTCACAAAAGATGTTAACTGTGCAGTAGTGGAGATTGCAATGACAGTTCAGTGTTAGATAGCAAAGAAAAGCAAACAGCTTCTCGGCTTTAATGTAGAGGAGAATCCTAATTTGTTTAAGAAGTCTCTATGTACCTAAAACAAACAGTCACATTAGATGCAGATGACAGACCTGACAGGGGTAGATAACTTCAGCTGACGCATTAATACAGCAAAGGTTTAGGAAGTGAAGAAAGGTGATTTAAACCAAAATTCTGAAGAACAGCACTTTGTTGAATCTTAATGTTAGTGCAACTGTGCTAAAAGTAGAGTTATGTGATTGCTCCATCTGGTGCCAGACTTATTTCCTAGCAGCAGTAGCTATTTGCACCATTCAAATTCTTGACTGAACATGCCAGACTAGAAATGGTATATGGCTAAAATAAAGATGAGAAACAGATCTTTTTGTCAAAGACAGAACAAAGGAAACTGGCTGGGGATGTATTATGGACCACATTTCTACAGAGGTAGCAGGGAGATCTATAAACAGCAACAAGTTGTTAAAAATTTAATGCTAATACTTTAAAATTATTTAAAACTAAAATTATAATGCTTTAAAAAAGTCAAGTATGATTTTTGTTTTCCCGATGTTTATATTTAAAGTGTTAAATAAAGCTAATTGTTTTGGCAAGATTTCGTATATCAAGATACAAAATTTTGTAAAGGATATGAATAAAGCTGGCTGTTCAAAATTAAGCTGTGCAGAGGTGAGGCTCATAACAACTCAAAGGGAACAACATGACTTTCAGTAGTGCTTTTCTTGCACGTTTCCCCAGTTGCTTTCAGTGTTGTGGGATCAAAATCCCAGGTGGTTGTCTAGCTGCATGATATTTGTATCAAGCAGGATTGGAAGCTGCATCCTTCGATCTTTCACTCACTATTTTAGTAGTACTGCATCTTTTCTGACCAAAAGAAGTCTTCCTATTAAAACTGGCCTGAGAAGAGATCAACATGTAATTTTTTGACTAGCTTTGGCACTATTCGATACCCACAAGGATGTGAGGAATAAGAAAGGAACAACTTCTGCTTGCAGGAATGAAATAACAGTAAAGGATTGTAATCTAAATATCTTTTTTTACTGCCTTTAAATAGATCCATTTATCCTTTTGAAGATGCATAAGTACAATTTCCCCTTGAAATGTGCTATTGCAATAGCTCCCAATGGTTATAATTGGAATTATATGCACAGATTGAGAGGAAAGTAGAGCAGTACACTAATTTTCTCTTGAGTATTGTGATTTCTTGCTCTAATTTTGTTCCACATATTAATTTCATTTATCTTCTACAAAAAAGCACCTTTGACTACCTCACATATTCTCTCCTTGCTAATCTGTCTCCCTTGGGCTACTTCAAATATTCCAAATTTTGGAGTGGATTCAAAAAGCTGACTTAATCTGAATACAGCACTGAGACTGTGTTGATTATATTGGCATCTATTTATGAATAATGTAAGGCATGGCACTAAATGCTGTCTTGAATGTTACTTCAGCAGCACAGAGAGGGAGACATAGTTTCTCGTGTTTGAACTTGCAAATGTGTCACTCCTCTCCCTCTTGGGACACCACTAGGACTTTGTATTTTGGGGGTGATAAGAAGGTGATCTGTCACAGCACCACTTGATCCTGTATCTGAGCAAGATAGGGATGGCAGTTTAACAACTGCATCTGCTGATCTCTGCCTCTTACGCCAGAGTCTGAAGGGAACCCTACTTGTCCTTAAATACAGAATGTATGAAGAGTCCGTAGTTGTGTCCCTTCTCATGGCAACATTCCTACACTCCACATGGAAACATTATTTCTGAATTAAACCCTGATCCCATACTGACAGTTTGCTCTTTCAGACACCATGTGATATAATTGACTTGCTTTGACTACTGGTCAGCCTTGCTTATAAATTAATCTGGTTAATATGTGTCACAGCTTTCCTAAGAAGTGATGTTGGGTATTTTCTGTTTGTCTTCATGTCAATTTATGTTTGGTTCTGGGCAAGGCCTCCACCACCATTTTCAGTCCTTGAGTTGCCCTGGAATGGAATGGCCTCCACATCAGTTGTTTAGTTCCATGTCTATATGGAGCTTACTGGGACTATTTAGTGCCATGTCATGAAATGTGGCCCAGATTAGGGTGCAGATGAAGATCCACATGAGGTCTCTACAGCTTAAGACTGCTTGTGATAAGAGATGTATAATGGATAAGTTAGATGAAGCCTTTGAAAGATGCAGATTCTGCCTTTGCCCTAAATTCACTTGAGGGCCACCTCTGCTCTTGTTGTGTAGTGGAAGTAACACCTGGGGTTCAGGTTTATTTTCCCAGTTTGATTCTACTCTGCCAGCTACTTTCCTGGGCTTCCTTTATTACCTAGAAGATTATGGATTCTCGAGATGATAAATAGTACAGGAAACATAACTGGAAATACTTTCTGGTAGATAGAAGACTGAATGTTTCCTTCAGATGTGAACCTTGATTGTGTGATCTGTATGTCAGTGGGACCTTAAGGTGACAACTGTAACATGTTGTACATAGGACATTAGTTATTAAGTGTTAAATCTGTTCACAAGGTGGTATCTGTACGGAATGCACATTGCTATAGACCTGAAAGACTGCTTCCTTTCTCTCAATTATAAATGATCTATGACACCAAAATTAGGTGCAGAGTGAATCTGTGTTGGTTTTGTATTTAACCCTGAAGACTTATTTTGTGATTTCAGTGGGAAACAGAATTTACCTCACTGATACTTTACCTGGAAAAAGTACTTGGTCTCCAACCTTCTAGGTTGATTTGTTGCTTGTTTAGCTTTATGAGGCGTTTGGTCATGGTTCTAGGTTACTTTTGGATAGCATTAGACATCTCTCTGTGATTTCAGAAAAATAAGATTTCATTACACAGGCAACTGTGTTATATCTGAATTCTGATTTAGTGCCAGAGCCATTTGCAAGAAAACAATTTTCTAAATATTACCAAAAACTATGCAAACTAGTACTGACAGATGGCTGTAAGATAGACATTAAAATGGTCCACTTTAACAGTTTATATTGGATTTGGTTGCTGTTGTTGTGTTTAGATTAATAAAAGGAAAGCAAACGACAAAATTCATGCATTTTGAAATGTAGACAATACTGGTGCATAATGAAATCAAACATACATTATATATGCTATTACTTCATGTTGAACTTTGTTACAGAGTAAACTCTGGACTACTACTAAGGAAATAAATGCAAGTGAACACATTCCTAGGCAAATAACTTTGAGTTTATGTAGCGACGTCATGGTGAAGCTGTTTGTCTTTTCCTGATTTTCTGCTGTCCCCATGAAAGTCAACATCACTGCCTTAAATCTCCAGAGCTTTTATTCTGCTTTCTTCTTTCAGTGTACTCCTGAGACAGTCATGGTCATAGCTTATTTTCTGTTATTTTCAGCAGAAAGGCAACCGTCTTCCATTAAATCCCAAAACAAAAATACATCTCCATCAGAGTAGTAGAAGAAAAATTACGTGTAGCGGAACCTGGTTTTGTTCTCACTGATACTATAATATGGCAACTGTGAAGTATGAATTTATGATTTCCAGAATTTTTAATTATAGAAAAATAAGGTGTCTTTATTTCTTCTACCATTATGACTTAGTGATTCTGTTACGAATTACTGATGCTGTTACGGTTATTGATAAAAAGTATTACTAAGAAATTAATATTGTATTCCTAACAAGATTTCAAATGTGATTTTTTTTTTGTCTTTATAAATTAATTCTGCAATATGTAAACTATGTTTCCAAGAAAAAAAATAGTCAAGTAATGAAAGACCAGTTGCTTGGTTTTGAGACACATTTTTACTTAAAAAAAATATTCAACAGACAAGAATAGTAGAAACTGTATAATTGAAATGTCTAAGATCATAGTGCAGTGACCAGAGAGTCTCTGTCAACAAACAGTGGAAAAAATACCTGTGAATAGCTTTTGGGTTATAATTTAATGTACTTTTACCAGGTTGACCTACACTTTATGAAAAAGATACCGCCTGGAGCTGAAGCATCAAACATCTTAGTTGGTGAACTAGAGTTCCTGGACCGCGCGGTTGTTGCTTTTGTTAGGTTATCCCCTGCAGTGCTGCTTACAGGACTAGCAGAAGTTCCGATTCCAACAAGGTACAGTTGGTTTTATTTCTCTTCATGTTTTTCTCAGTTTGTGGAGGTGGGGTGATGTGACCTTCAGCTTTTGTCAGTTACCAAGTTGCGAATTCAGTTCTTTCTTTAACAGAGATGTTTATTAGACACATCCGAGAGCTTCAGTTATTTCGTGTGGACCTATCCTCCACATTTTATAGAACCTCACTAGCCCCAGGCCTAGAGTAGATGCTATGCAGAGCCCTAATGGGAGTAAGAATGTTTTAAAAATTCTTTTTATTCAGGGGAATTTAACTTCCCCGATATTGCACTAAAATACCCCTATCAGAAAATAGTTGATTCTGTTGAGTTAATAGAATTAAATAAATTGTGTTCTGTACATAGACTGTAATTGCATATATTTATTATGTAAGATGAGGTTTGTTATGTAAGGAGGCTTTGATAGTCTCAGTCAAGTCTGACTGTGAAGCTCATGGTATATTTTTGGAAGTTATTTTCATATTTTTTTCTAACCAGAGCTTCATGTTTAAATGCATGTGTGAGGATCTTGAAGGAGATTATATATAATATTTATCTTAGAGGTTCTTCTAGTCCAGTTTTTAAGTTTTTCTGCAGTGTATATAATTACTTTCAATCATCTGTCCTTTGAAATATTGAAATTTCCCTTTTATTTACAGATTTTTGTTTATTCTTCTTGGACCACTGGGTAAAGGGCAACAGTACCATGAGATTGGAAGATCAATTGCAACACTAATGACAGATGAGGTATTTTTATTCATGGCTTGGTTTTAGTCATTTTGTACTGGCTGATGAGGTTTAATATGGAATCTCCAGTGTGAAATTTTCCAAATGGAACGTAGCTAATCATTCTAATGAGGCACAAAATAGCATTCTACTTCATTTCATGATTCTGTAACAGCCCAGGTTATGCTGCCATAAGGAGATAACAAAAAGAGAAACAATGTTCATAAGCAAAATTATCCTTAAAGAGAAGATTCCATTTTACACAGTTACTTTCTAGTTGAATTGTGTTTAAACTGTAGAACCTCTATAACATTTAGCACCCATAAGGATGTTTTTCCATAGCAACTGGAGCTTCTATGAAAACTATTTGCTAGAAACTCTAGTCAGTTGAAGCCAAGATTGTTTGGTAGGAACTGTATGAAGTGCTTTCTGCTCCAGAGAAAAGAGGCCATTGTGAAAAAGATTATGAGAGTATTCTTTCTCCATCTCTTTTCCTCCTGCATACTTGTCTCCCATTTTTCATAGGTGTTCCATGATGTTGCTTACAAAGCAAAAGACCGCAATGACTTGGTGTCTGGAATTGATGAGTTTCTTGATCAGGTTACTGTTCTCCCTCCTGGAGAGTGGGACCCAACAATTCGAATAGAACCACCTAAAAATGTTCCCTCTCAGGTTTGTACACTGTAAAATTCAGACGCTTTTAAATGCTGTGATGAATTTTTACCAGGTAGAATTAAGTCTCATGAGTTTAGCATTTATCAGAGTTGCTATATAGACATTTTGTATGCTCTTTTGTTTAATTTGCTTTAAAAGAACCCTTGTCTTGCAAGCATACGGTATGGCAATGACATTTTGTGTAGATCAATATTAATTCGCTCCTGAATGAAGACAGATAGTTGTATCTAAAGATTCAAGGGTAATTGGTCATAAGGATCTTTGATTACGTTGATCAGACATGGTTTGCTTTTCTTCTAAGCTTATTGCAAGAATTGATCAAAGCTGCCTGTCTTGCTACTCTTTACAATGTTTTCTGATACAAAATTTTCTGTGATCAATTTTTTAAATTTCTTAGACCACAATTCCTTCTGTTCTGGTAAAAGAACTTCTCTTAGAATAAAATTTGCATGTTTAGTCTTTCAACTCTCAAAGCCTGTTTCCTTTGCTAAAATTATGTTTTGGTTGCTAAGACCCGTACAAAATATCTTTTCCTTCTGGTAGGAGAAGCGCAAGATCCCGGGCGTGCCAAATGGAACTGCAGCCCATGGGGAAGCAGAGCAACCTGGAGGACACTCTGGACCAGAACTGCAACGCACTGGAAAGTTAGTGAAAGCATATGCATGAGTTTAGGTGTTTTAAGTGATGCACTTCAAATGAATTATAATGGTCTGGTTCTCGCTCAAATGACTGGCTTGGCATATGATTTTTATTTGGGCATTTTTTCCTGATATGTGTTACCACATGGTTGAAAAGGACACTACATGCTAATTTGCAGAGAGAGAGAGAGAGAGAGGACAAAGGATTTGAGTTTTCACATTATATTTATTGCAGGCTGCTTTCTCTATTATTTGTAAAGGTCAGACCTCTCTTATTAATATTTCTTACTGTTGTACAGCACAAAGGAAAAGTTGGGAATAGTCTTGTGCCATGTGTTATGAATGCTTACAATTATTTTGTAGTTGAAGTTTCTGGGTTGTGCTGCTCTAGCATTTGTCTTTTACCTCAGTAAGTCATGATATGTCCTGATACACGAGGCTATGATTACCGCAGTGGCTGCAATATACACACATCAGAAGCAAGAACTTGCCCCAAGGAATACTCAAGTTCTCTCATCTAGTATCTTGTGGTGTATGGGCATCAGCTGTTAGTGGGGACCATAGTGCAGTCTAGTTGTGCTATAGGCTTTTCTTTTTTACCTTGCTGCCAATTCCTGCCTGAATAAGGCTAAAGATTCAGCTGCAGTTTTGGTGTACACAGTGAGGCAAAGGAGATGGTGGCCTGTAAGCTGTTCTCTCACCAATAAACCTGGTAATTGATGGCTTGAAGGATTGTTCTGATATTTAGGGAGATGGTAGCACTTTATCTTCCTCTTTAACCCAGCAACATCTGATACTTTGGGTGCCTGTGAGAAAAAGAGCATTGTGGGGATATTTACTTTAACTATATTGTAAGGGAGCATCTGTTCCTAAATATGTGATTATATTTAGCATAGTGTAAATGACAAAAGATGTCAGTTCTTGTCCTTGGAAAATTGTGGCCTACATTCAGTTCTATCATCAAGCGTATTGAGGAACAGGTTCTTAAATAATGTGAAACGCTATGTAGACATGTAGGCAAATGGGCACTGTGGTGGCTGATTAAACAAATGGAAAGAATTATTCCACATAATAAATAAGGTTTTATGTGTGGGAGCTAACAACCATTCAGAAGCTTTGCATCTGGATGATCAGATGAAGGTTTTATGAGCAAATCAGTTTGTTTTAAAAATGCCATTTCCTGATTAAAGTTATCAAGACAGGGTACCCAGAAGCTTTTTTCTGGGAACATGAATTGTAAGAGTATGCATCGTTTGATCAAGGAACAATAACTTCTCTTCAGTATATTTAAAGCAATACTGTGGAAGAAAGTTTGAGATGCCTTTTTCATTAATTTGACCTCTTCTAATTTTTTTTAGATTTTTTGGAGGATTGATTTTAGATATAAAAAGAAAAGCTCCCTTCTTCTGGAGTGACTTCAGGGATGCTCTCAGTCTGCAGTGTCTGGCATCATTTTTGTTTCTCTACTGTGCTTGCATGTCACCTGTCATCACATTTGGTGGTCTGCTGGGAGAAGCAACTGAAGGTCGTATAGTATGTGTTAAACCTGAACTTTTAAAACAAACTTTCCTAGGTTTGTGGTTAGTATTTGCGTACTGTTGCATGAATCACCTTTAAATTATTGGTTTATATTCAGTGTTTAGAAGGCTACAGAGCAAGGTGTTTGAAAAAGAATCTGTTTAAAAATTTATGGACACTTCTTTCTGTTTCCTATTCAGAGTGCAATAGAATCGCTATTTGGAGCATCCATGACTGGAATTGCCTACTCCCTCTTTGGTGGACAGCCTCTCACTATACTTGGAAGCACAGGACCAGTTTTAGTGTTTGAGAAGATCTTATTCAAATTTTGCAAGTAAGTGAAGATCATGATACGCATCATCCCTTGGGTGTTGTTAGGTAGAGACACTGATCCCAAAGTTCCAACATCTGCAGAATGAGATCAACAGTTTGTTTTGAGTGCACTGCTTAGGCTTTCAAAGTCTGAAAATTACACAGGCACTAAGACAAGTGAATTGGTGGTTATGCAAAAAGGTTGATTTGTTGTTGTTGTTTGGTTGTTTTTTATTGTACTCATTTTCTACTCTGAGACACTACATTTTAATCTGTGGTTTTTCTCATCCGTAACTCATGGAAAAGGTTTTACCTCTCACCCAGGAATTAAGTGCAGTGGCAGTGGTGCCATCTTTCAATAATCACTAATATAGACCCTGCCCTTCCTCCACCTAAACAAAGGAGGGGTGAAGCATCATACCAGAGCAGCATATCCCCATGTTTACGTTAATGTGCTATACATGACATACCTCTGCTACAGAGTGGGTAAAAATTATGTCTGCATCTCAGCGACCATCATGCTTCTCTGCAGTTGTATTTGCTTTTTTGCCTCATTGCTGTGATGGGGACTTCTTCATCAAAATCTCCTGAGCAACATACAGTAGGAGACCCTGCTTACCACCCCAAAAAGCTCTTTTCTCACCTTCAGGTAGACCTTTTAGTTCTCTGTGATAGTGTCACACAACATGAAGCCTTTACTGTCAGATTCAATAATCATACAAGATTTTGATGAAAGTTGTTGTTATAGCTACTCTTGCAGCTTAAGAAGAAATTGGCAGGTGTTGACTGTGCACAAGACAGATTATGGTATAAAAGTGGGTGGACCTTACATACCTCGTGAAAGTGATTCCTCTCAAATCTGTTCAGTCACTGTAGTAGAGATAGAGCTCTCTTGTGTCCCATTAACTTGGAGGACAGTGCAGGTCAGGAGGTGACTTGACAGTGTCTTCAGTTTACAATAGGCAAATAATTTCTGTTTCAGACTGTCCCCAGAATCCCAAATGCACCCCTAGGCAAAGGAAATTTTGGAAGCATCTTTCTTGCATTACTATGGCTGGACAAAACATAACATAAACTGTGTTTGATGTATTTTTTGTGTGGTTTTTTTTTTTGTTTGGTTGGTTTTTGTTTTTGTTTTTGTTTTTAGAGAATACGGGTTGTCATACCTTTCTCTGAGAGCTAGCATCGGACTGTGGACTGCAATCCTGTGCATCATCCTTGTTGCAACTGATGCAAGCTCCCTAGTCTGCTACATTACCCGGTTTACTGAAGAAGCTTTTGCTTCTCTTATCTGCATCATTTTCATTTATGAGGCCTTAGAGAAGCTATTTCATCTCAGTGAGACATATCCAATCAACATGCATAATAATTTGGATCTGCTGACAAAGTACTCGTAAGTAAGATTTTTTTTTTCCTGTTAACACTGTTCTGTTTTTGTTTTTTCATATGTTGTGTTTTCTCTATGAGGAAAGCAAACCAGCGCACAGCAGGAAAAGTTTGCAGTAGTTGTAAACTTAACGTGGAAGCTGTTGAGTTAGGCATGATGCTGGCATGTGGAAGCAGTAATTTTTAGAGGTATGTTTACAAGCAGTAAGCATTTACTTAAGATAAGTGAAAAATGACTTGGAGTTTGGAAAAGCTTACACACATGCAACTCGGAAGACATAGATTGAAAGAGTAGGTCCTTATTCACACTTTTTTTTAATGAGGTGTAGTTCAATGATCTGTTACTATAACCATGTATTGATTATTTATAATATTTTATCGGGTGTTCAACATTTTAACATAATATTTATCTGGTTTTTTAGTTGTTGGGCTGTTTTGCATATCCCCCTCCCAAACTGAAGTATTGATCTACCTAAAAAAGGATATAATTTCATGTATTTTAACTCCTTCTCCTGTGTTTTAGCTAAGGATCAAGCTTCTGTAACTGAAGTGGATTTGGAATTCTTAGGTGCTTCTCGCAGTGATTGATTTTTGTCATAATCAATTTGTTCTTAATAACAAGATTTTTAATATAAGTCCATTTAAGCAGCTTTACTTTATTTGTAGAGTTTTGACAGGTATTATTCTACCTGGGGAACAAAAAAGTGGTTTTAATCAATACAGTTTCATTTAGATGTAAACCTTCTTGTTTTTGTAATACGAGAACAAAAATGTTCTTCTAGTAAAGGACAAGATCCTCGTCTGTCCTGAGGCCAATTAAGCCTGGTCACCTCAGCAACTAGAATGTCATTAAAAGTATTTCCAGAGAAGATTCCCCTCTAGAAATGTCTTTGTTATTTCATTGAACTCATTTGAACCCTCTTCATGAGCAGGGTGGGGCCCAAAAGGAACAATGCTTGAAGAGTGCCACATCTTCTGTTCACTGGAAAAACAGGAGTGTCTCAACCAAATGTCTCATTTGCATTTTAAGCTGGGAAAAACAAAACATAGTGACGGAGAAAACATTTGAGCTTTGTATATGTTATCACTAGAAAAATAGTTAGTAAATCCTGAATCTGAATGTATATTATATACCTTAATACGCAGAACAAGTTAAATTATAGAAACTATAGTTCTGCTGTGACATACTCTCTCATCCTGCTGAAAAACATATTTATCTCTGAAAGTTTCATCAGTAGACAAAGGAATATTAATCTGAAGAGAAGGCAGTAAACATCAAGAACAGACCGTGTATGCAGGTGAGGTTATATCCTGGACTCATTTAATTTCACTTAAATCCTATGAAGTTGGTATTTTACTCTGAAGAGCCTCATACAGCACAGTGTTTGTGGATTAAGTTTTCTTTTCCTAACTACTTAAAAGTAGTTGTCTCAAAGGGAAAGAAACTTAGATGTTCTTACATGGTTTTGAAAGACAGGTGTTAAAATATATATTATTATAACTATACAAAGACATAAAATTATTCAGAAACCATTTAGGAGGCAGAGCTGAGATGTTAAAATATGTCATGAAAGCATAAACACAAATAGCAATACTGATTCCTGGGTATGTAGCTTTATTTGTGAATAGCTGAATCCTGTGACACAGCTTGAGATTCCAGAGAAATAAGATCAACGGTCTTGCTTGTATGGGGGTACATTGATACATTTCTCTATATTTTATGCAACTATTTTATCATCACAGTCCTTATGTTTACAAAGAAATGGTTTTGGTTTTATTTAAAATTCCATTCATTAATAAAAATCCCATATTAATTTTTGAAGGGTGGCGTTTATTTCCCATCTGACCTTGGTAACTCCTTATTGAATGTAGAATCTGCAAAGCATGCAGAATGGTAAAAGAGCAACAATTCCTTCAGTTACAGCTGTTGACCTGTCGTGTCCTACAGTGTTGGAATACCAGAACAACAGTTTTAGATTTTTCCAAACACCATTCCTGAAGGAGAAGTGTCTTTCAGATGTTTGGAAGAAAGATTTGACCACTGCCCGGTAGTTTCAAACACATATATGGCTATCAAAATTATTTGATATAATAATTTTGTAGTTACTTGAGGTCATAATTTCATACGTATCGTGTCAGATATTCTTTCACTCCATGTAGATAGTACAAATAGATTGACTTTATAACTCTTGTATTGTATTTCTCTTGGCATTTGTTTTATCTTCTACTTGCAGCAATATCCTCTTTATTATTGATACCATGTCCATGGCAACTGACCCCACTAATACCAAAATGTTTATCTCTAAACATAGGTATAGGCAACATATCTGTTATGGGATGTGGCTTATCTTTTCTTAACCTTAAAATTGATGGAAATGCCATCGATTACCTTGTAAGAGCACATGTGCTGATTCCAAGGATCTGTACTCTGAACACAGCAAGGTGATAATTCCAGTCTCTTTTATCTTCCCTCCCTTCTCCTTCATCTGAGTTTTTCTTAGTTGTTCAGAACCATCCCAGACAGGTTGGGAGAACAGAAAGATGTGCTCTTTTGGAGCAATTCTACATCAGCTGCCCAAATGACTAGTGCTTTCACAGCAGGCTTGGTGCAACCTCAACTCAACGGGTTTCCTGTGCAGATACACACATATTACTGTGTCCAGACACAGTGGCCATTTGCCCAGAAGGTATTACAGTTATCATCCCCACAGGATCATCACAAGAAAAGAAATTTCAAATAACCCTTAATCCCTGCTTAAATGTCTGTACACGCCTTGGTTCCATAAACATCAGACACGAGAAGAACAATAGGAATAAAAGCTTACTTGAAATAAAAATCTCATTTTTGTGTACTTGAAATTGGGGAATATTGCTTTCACAAGGGATTAGAAGCTTTTTCTGAAGCATCTGACTCCAGTACTTCTATTTGCAGTTTAAATTGCTAACAAACTTGGGCTGAAACTGGTCCTTTCCTTAAAGGACCAGCATACTCTGTTACAGAAGCTAATTAGTATCTGCTGTTTTGCTAATTAAAACAGCTGTTTGCATTTTCCTCTTTGGGGATTTTAAAGACAAGTTTTTAATTGTTAGTAAAGCCTTGGCAGTTCTTTAATTAGCGATGGGTGAACTTCAAAAGGTTGTGTGACTTATTTCTCTTTGAATGCTCAGCCAAAGCTTACGTAAAACTTTATCTTGGGTATGCAATTCTATGCTAGAAAACTCAGGTTATACTGTAAAATTTCTGTATTTTCCATGTTCTGCCTGCTGCCCACTCAAAAAATTGATAATAAATAGGTCAGGACATCAGGTACACATCAAAAGCATTAAGTGTATGCTGTGGCCCAGCCCTCCTCTCTTCCCCCATGGGCTTTCTGAGGATATTCGGGTGATGTCCTCAGGTAGGCCTTCTACATCCCAGTAATGTTGCCCTTGCCGTAGAGAAGGCATGAATTTGACCCAGTAAAAGTCATTGGCATGCTGTTAGTACTGTCCTTTGGAGTACTAGAAAAACAAAGAAAATTGTAATTTAAAACGGTCGGTATTTCAACCAGATTGGAACCATATTTCAAGTGAGAAAGAAAACCCATTCTGTATTTTGGGTGGGTTTGAATTCTGTCATAAACAGTCTCTGTTGCAGGAGTTTCATGTAAAAGACTGTACTGCATGCATCTCCTTGAATTATATTTGAATATAGGAGTTACTACTAGGATCTGCCATAACAAATCATAGAAGACTATAGAAAAAAACAGTCAGAACAGTTGCTTGTTTGGTGTGGGTTTTTTTTTTTTTTTTTTTAATGAAGCAGACCCAAATATTTGAAAATCAGCTGAAAGTTCTCATAAAAGATTCTCACAAATTTGTATTTATCATTTTACCATTAAGGTGGGAGATATGAGTCTGAGTTTGTTACAGAATTCTGTCTCAAAAAAACAAAAAATATCCTTATGCATGATCTAATTAATGTAGAACTAGTTGTAATGCACTTTTAACTCATTTTCTTTATTATGCTTGTTTGCTATTCTGTGTTGAAATATTTGCCCTAATCATCGGGTGGTGTACCTGCAGGCCAATCCATTAATTCATATGTAACTTTTCCTTAAAACACCATTTTAACGATAAGGTTTCTAAAGAATAAAGCATTTAAGAGCTAAATCAGAAGAAGGGACAAAGACAACCTGATTTTCAATGTGCTACTGTGCTGCAGTTTCTTTTCAAATTGCATTGTTTTGAAGGAATTTAAATACAGTGGCTGTGTTGTTTAGTAAATGCAATACACATACACTCTGATCCGGGCTTTTCTTTCTTTTTCTTTTTTTTCTGTGACCTTTTTGTATTTTTCATGCCATTAGCATTTGTGGGTTGGCATAGCAACTCTCTTATTTCTGCACTCTCCTCCTCCTGCTTTTTCCTACCTCTGTAGCAAATATATCTCCAGTTAGTGAATCTTGTCTGGAACAGTGATGCACATCACTTTTAATGTGTTTTTTAAATATTAGGATATCACTTTTGCTAGGAAAGGAGAACCCTCCAACTGGGTGGATTAAAACCAGAGGTTCTCAAAAGGAGAACAAAGTAAGCATTGTGAATGAAAGGAACATGATTTAGAAAGCAGTCCAGTGTTTTTAAAAATACAAGCATTTTAAGATAGTTCTCTTAGAATACAGAAGATAGTTATTTCTCAGTGTGAGGTTGCTTAGATCTTGGGACTCCATATACCTTTTGGTTTTTATTAATTTTTTTTTTTTTTCAGAATGATGAATTTGTGTTGTTTTTAATAATTCTTTACCAGAAGTTACTCAATTATTAACAGATTACATTGAATAATTTTAAAGTGATTTCTTGGCATAGTAATATGCATATTGCAATCTGTCTTGGTATTGACATGCACTTAAGCATTAGGAGTAGAAAATCCCACTCTGATGTAATTAAGGAGCCAAGATCATGTCAATCTTGGTATCTTTTGCAGGCTATGGAAACCATTGCTTCTAGAAGGCATTGCAAAGATTT